TAGTCAAGTGATGGTATGTTAAAGTGACTGGTGGAAAAAAAAATACCAAAAGGTCATATACATACATCGGTATCTCTATATTATTATGATATTTGTATTTACCACCCAACATTTTTATCAATCTTACCCTTGTTTAAAAAAATCGGTTTTATTTTTTTACGTCAACTGTCCGTAACGTAATGTATTTAGTTTCGTGTTAAGATAATCGTGTACAAAAAAGCCGTGACTGAATTGTCTTCAAGTATCTTTTTCGGATACATATATGCACGAGAGAATGTATTTACACAGAAAAGATACTTTGAGATTTTTTTTACTTGCAATAAACTAATGCTTGATTGACTGCGATCCCACCTGATGGTAAGCAGTGATGCATTCGTTGATGGTAAGGCGCACTAGTTTATTAAGAGCCTATTCACTCTAGCCTTGAAGACACCTAAATTATTATAATTCTAAACTTATGTATTTTTATTCTCATCATTATTACCCTCCTAGAAGCGGCACACATATCCATGAAATAAAATATAATATTTAGGCTATGGTATGCTTACACTATAATTGAAAACGGTCTGATGACGACTACGATAGCTCCTTTCGCTTTCTAAAGTACCTAATATATTATATTGTTTCTTTGCTCTAATTTAAAATATACTATATAACGATATAATTGATTATTGATTTAAATATTCTGAGTTGTAATTTAATGGTATAATTAGTCTAAAACAAAGATAAAACATTAACGACACGGCTCAATAGATTTTAACAAAACATAGTAAACGGTGTTTGTTTGCAGTGTCCGTAGCGTATCGGTAATTAGCATAATTATAATTTAATTACCCGATGTACACAGCTTTTTGTACTAAGTAATATACCCACTTATATACATGTATCAGGCCATTAACGCTTAATGGTTATGCTAAGTGATATTGCGATAAAAACGAACAATTTGCAATTCGTGATGACCGTAGACACAGGTTCCGCTTAAGCATAAAAAGTAAATCCGGTACCTGACTACATTATTAATGTAATGGTTACACATATGCCCTGTTTTTGCATTAATAAAACTTTTTACAATAAAATGAGATCATACAAAATCTGATCATCACAATAAGCTTTTTGTAACTGACTGTAAATAATTGGTATAACAAATTAACAGCTTTGTTTGTTAAATATGTAATGTAATAAGTATAATAAATTTGATACAAAAATATTTTTTATAGTGTAGTTGTTTAAAATATTGTAATAGGTAACTACATAGACAATTGTTAAGGCAAGGGGTAGGAATGTATCAGCCGGGGCTGCGAGGTAAGCGCAATGAGGCACCGCGACCTTGGCCCAAAGCAGGAGAAGGATCAGGGGGTTTTTAGTCAGTAAGAGTCTGACACTCCCTCCCTCGGTCCTGGGCGGGAAAAGTCATTTGATGATTTACCCCTCACAAAAAAAGGGGTAGGATTGTAAAGGTATCGCGGCCTCGGCCTAAAACAGCAGAAGGAACGGGGGTGTTTTACTCACTAAGAATCTGACAATGCCACTCGCCTCAGGCAAGAGAAGTCATAGGATGATTTCCCCCTCACAATAAAGTGGTAGGAATGTCGTTGGAATGCCATGCCAACTTTTAACTTTAAAGCTATACGATGCAATTTCGAACTCGGACTAAACAAAAAAAGACGCAATATATAATTTTAAATAGCGTTTGTGTTTTTGTTTACATACCGGTCAAGTGATGCGCGCACTGTTTGTAACTATTAACACAAGTGTAACCAGGAAGTAAAGAATCCATTTATCTATTAAATAATAATATAATCAGCAACAAGTATGAGCAAATAAATACTAAATAATTGTACTAATAACTTGTATAATTAACATTTCATATATTTATTGACATTTACGACGGAATGCTGGCTTACTTAGCTCATTACAAGTATGTGATGAGTACATTTACATAGTACCGCGACGATTCCGCAATTATACATAACCATTATATTTCATGTCATTTATAACAAAACAAGTGTTGCTTATTTATTGTTTATTATAATGCTCTTAAACAATGTTCCGCCTATACAAGAATACGCCTACATTATAGTATTGTGTTCGTTTTTGCACTCATTGTGAATTTGACAAGACGGAATAATTTATCTAGAAGTGCTAGAATCCTAATGAATTTAGTTTCGTTTCCTTATACCTTAATAGGAATTCTAAGACTTGTTAGTGATATTCAGCAGTAAAATATCCATAAAAAACTAAGATGTTCGTATATTTAAGGCATTTGAGTTTGTCGTAATTTAATGTTTCTGCAGACGGATGATCACAGATTGCATTCAACTTCTTGCGTTCACATAAGTATGGAAAATACACGTCGATTGTGTATGTGCGTGGTTTCCATGGTCAAATACATGATTATCGCCATGGCCATAAATCAAAAAAGGATACACACTATTACGACGGCTGTTGTATTCGTTAAGAACAGACAGATGTAGTGTTCCCAGTAATCGTCCTTATTATTGTAATTTGTAAATCCGTACTGAATTCAACGAATAAGATAAGATTTTTTGCTATTACAACTAGAAGAGTTACAACTAGTAGAAATTGAATTAATTCTACTAGGAATTGAACTTATCGTACTTGTAATCTCTATCTCGAAAAATAAGAGAGATGTTCGTTCTTGAATGCGGTACATCTTAAGTCCGGTTTGTTGGCTCAGCCGCTAAGCGTAAAATCCACGTTGAGTCTACAATACAAGTGTGAAGTTTTTGTTGGGAAATTCTCACTCGTAGTTTTCAAGTGTTACAGAAATTTTGTGAATCAGTTGGATTCATTCATTACAACTTAGATGGTACAGTCATAGGCTTTTTTTTGAGAATAAACTATTACTTCGGGTAAACCCGTTACGTGATTGATTGTTTACTTGCGTGGAAATTATCTTCATTAATGAATAGTGAGTATATAGTAAACGGGAAACTGATGGAGCGTGCTTTGTAGTGATTATCTAAATAGCGGTTGTTGACGGAGGAGTTACGTTAGTGAGTGGCCTTCAGCTTTCACTATCGCGACATGTAGACGACGACGCGACGCGCGCTGCATTCGCACGGCCCGCCATGTGTGCACGCCCGGCACGGTTTACGTGATCTTGCTTTAATTTATACTGCTTCTTCATATCCATCGTTATTCTAAGAAAATAATGACAAGGCATACTTAATATACTTAGACGGATATTATTAAACTTCTAGGTAGTCGTCTTTAAGCGATATTTTTTACCTATAGTTATCGAAGAGTCCCGAGCTCTTGAGTAATCACATCACATGCAAAAATTACAAATTCGTTTTGCTATGACCAACCACAAATCAAATCATAAATAAAAATACAGTAGCCTAATAAATAAACAAGTTAACATAAATCCTTTGTGTATACAGGAAGCTAGTAATTATTATTACTTGTAACACTAGTTGTAAGCAATGACATTTAAATGTCAAAAATTGTCCCGGAATTATGAAGCTGTGATGCATGCATTAGTGATTGGGACCGGCATGATATATCGTTTAGTTATTGTTTTACATGTTGTAACATCAATATTTTATTTCCTTTCTCTTTTAAGTATCATCCACATCGTTGATGCTTCTGTTTAATGTTTAAACGTCGTTTAACAAGACGATTAAAACATTGGTATCAGATAATTTAAGAATTGCATATAATCTTTGTAAATATTTAAAGTTTCATTGCCAAAAATCTTCTTTGACGTTATTCACAGAATGTATTGGAGTTGAAATATCTTTCTTTCCTCTGCACTACACATATTGGGTGTAATTTTAATTTTAATAGTATAATTTAGACTATAAAGTTTTATTTCCATATTTTTGATATATGATTATATCCTGACTAACAAATGAGGGTTCATTAATAATAATTAGTATAAATTCTTGATATATGATTAAATAAATCAGTTAACCTTTGGTCATGCTTGAAGTGAAAATATTACACCACAATTTGTAACTTCTAAACCATATTCAAGTCAAAACTGAAATAGAATTACAAAAGTAATAATTGAAATTGCAAATAATTACTATGTATATGTACACATTCTAAGTAACATTATATTTAACAGTAATTTTGTTCTTGTATTTTGAATATAACCGGATACATAGTCACAATACTTAGTCATTCACAATGTCGAAGGAAACCGTTATATGCATATTTAAAAATTAATATTGGCTATTAAATGGCAACTTATTTCAAACCATAAGTTTTTGTTTGTTGTAGCAAACATTTCCGATTCGTGAGTACATATAATACAAAACCAAATAAACAGAAGATGAGGTTTCGTTCGTGTAAAAATTAAATGGTCGGTAAAGCATTAGTGTTAAGATTATAATAGGTAGGTACGTGTATGAAGTTTTTACGCAAGTTCAGTGTAAGTCAAGGGCCGTAGGTGCAATTATCAAATTATATCTTACGTCACAACGCTAGCCTTAACCTTACGTCGTGAAGGATTCGAAAGCGTTTTTTAATTGTTTTCATAATTAAATACTGGTACTTAGGAAATTTTTGTTCTTTGGTATTTTGTTATTTTGTTAGTTATTAAACTTTTTCTGTCCATCATTAGATGAGCATTAAGGACTCTGGCAAAAAATGTATATTGGTTATTTAGATTGTTTCGTCCCATTAGAAAGATGAATTAATCCATTGCTTTTGCCAAATTATTTATAGAAAAACAGGCAAATTTTACCGTAAGTTATAAGAATAGTTATTTTACTTTCCTGTTATAAATATAATTTTATATTATATTAAATATTTTTAAGTGGGGAGAGTCATGCTTCGGCACGAATGGTCGGCTCGACCGGAGTGATACCACGGCCTCGCAGAAGACCGGCTGTGAAACAACCACAGCGTTGTGTTTCGCCGTGTGAGTGAGGTTATCGGAGGCCCAATCCTTCTCCGCCCCCAATCCCTCCTCAATCCCTAAATCTCCAAATCCCAAATCCCTAATCCCTAAAAGGTCGGCAACGCACTCGTAACTCCTCCGTTGCGGGTGTCCACGGGCGGCGCTGATTGCTTACCATCAGGTAATCCGTTAGCTCGTTTGCCGACCTATTACATAAAAAAAAATTAACAAACAGTGTAATTTTCTATTTCACATATAATTTTTATACGTATTTGCTTCCTCCGCAAGATCGGCAAACTTTCAAGCTATAAATTAGGTGATTTCCAAAATTCTAAAGTAACACTGACATGTCAATATTTTCAAGTACTTATTACTTATGATTTGCAAAAATTATATTGGTAAATATTTTGACGCAGTGATTCATTCAGTGAAAGTGAAATGGAATAACATGTATGATCGAAAGTAACCTACTGAATGTGTAAAACCAAATCGGGCGGGTTTTCACGATATAGGTCAAACTCAGAACAATGCATCGGTAGAAGTAGAAAACAGGTTTTTCGCCTTACATGGATCATTTTCTAATGTTTACTTGTAAAATACTAAATAACCCAATGAAAACAATTCTAACTAATAGTTCGTGTATAAAGTTAAGACTTGTACAAAATCTAACTTCAAAAATTATAGCTCGGTTGGTTTTGTGAAACTTGTACAAAAATTAATGATAGGTTAACTACTACTTACAATTGAAGATCATTATTCTAGTTTAAACAGTATTTTAAGAGATACAAAATAAAATAAATATCTTACTTTGTTTGTGCATTACACACACATCAGCTGATTGATCGGAGGTAGCTAAGAAAGACTGTTAGATTCGTTTCTAGGCATGAATACGTACCTATGTGTATGTGTCGTTAGGCATAAAGTAAGAAACAACTGTATAAAGTATTAATTATTAAATTTTACATTAGACCGAGACAGGTTTGATAATTGATAATTCTATTTAACCTTGACCCATAGGAAGCGGAAGTGCAGTCAAGGTCACGGGGAAATGTTCGGCGGGTATCGTGACTTTAGCAGCGCACGCGCCGAAAATGTCAAGATCTCGACGTCACTACAATCAGTTCAAGCTCTAATGATCGTGATATGATACGCTTTAAAGGTATTGTGTAGGTGGCACAGGTTCTAAGGTATACATCCGTGTGAATGACTTGCCTTAACGATCTAGATGTTGCGAACACCATGGCCCATCACGAAGACTCAGATATAATTTTGATTGAAGAGTTGTTGGCTTCTTTTTTAACAGAAAGTTGAGATTGATGTACTACAATATATGTTCTTCTAAGAGTATGCCTTAATGCCGCCTATGGATAACCAAAAGACTTACGATTGCGTTGCCAGCCTTTCGGGTTTCGGATATTTAAGGATTGGGAAGGAATGGGGGAAGGACGAGGAATTGGGCCTCCGGTAACCGCACTCACACGGCAAAACATGCAACGCTGTGGTTGTTTCACGCCGATTTTATGTAAGGCCGAAGCTTGGCTTTCCCACACTGTTGTGTAAGTTGTGTTGTTAAGGTGATAAAGTGAATTGGATTGACACAGAATATTATCGGTAGGATACCTAAACCTATTAGGCAGACAAATAAAAGAATTTGCAAACGAGTGAAAGAAAAATACATTTCTGAGCATTTTGTACGATCATGGTTTGCATTTCCTGTATTGGTTACGGAATAAAATAGAATCCGGAACCGATTCCAAATAAGATGTGTTAAGTAAAATGTAAATAAATCTCTTTAATGAGACCTATGTTTAATTTGTCTCATTTCCTTTTATTGCTTTTATAAAACATAGTTCATTATATGACTATTATATGTTATTTTATTATTGACTGGCTGATCCGACAAACTTCGTACCGTCTAATAGTCAAGGAATACTTTTTTGCTCACCTTTCAAACTTTTCCAGGACTATTACAAATATTTGAAGGTTAATTAACGCCGTTCTTGAGTTTTGGCAAGAGTAACAAATAGCAATTGATTTTTACATATAAGATTATTTTTTATATATAAGTTTTTATTTATATACCTATTACCCACAGTATTCCGTGCTATTACCATTTAAACGAAGCTAACTAAAAAGTTGTAACTAATTAGGATTAAAAAGATTTCATATTTATTGTCATTTAGTCATCAAATGACTTCTCCCAGGGTAGGGCTAGAGTCCTTCTACTGTTCTAGGCCACGGATGCGGACGTTATTAAGCTTGACCCACAACCCCGAGGTAGAGGAACCCATTGGCCTCAAGTTCAGCAGTCGTGATTTCCACCGCTAAGCCAACGAGGCAGTTGATTGTTTATTGTATCTAAGCAGCATAAGTCATAATCCGTGATTCATAAGTACGCCACAGGGCATCGCGCACGATTGTTGTGAAATGAATTTCAAGGATATTTAAGTAAGAGATCATTGCAGCGGCTTATCGATCGTTTCCCTTGATCAATAGGATGTAACTTATACTATGTTTAGGAAAAGAGAGGAATATTATTTATTATTCTTTGTAGGAATTACAGTGCGGCCGACGTATCTTGGCCAGTCTGAAGTTAGCCGATTAGCTGCGCAGTACACAATTTTGTTCCTAAAACATCCACTGCGCAGACAAACGGCTAACTTCAGACTGGCCTTGGGAATTGGAGTAGCCTCAGTAAGGGTAATTCGTCACCCGACCATGACTCGAGCGTATGGCGCGTCGCATTAAATGCGAGGCTCTTAGGATCATCAGATCACCAGAGATGGGGTCCACTAGGGCAGAGGGGTGGCGGGTGTAAGCACAATGAATCTGACACAGCCCCTAGCTGGACCCAGGGCGGAACAGATAATGAATGATTTTGGCCCTTTAAAAAAATTTACACTGCCAAGGCACTACTATTTTTAGAAGCAGTACCTACCGTTTAAGCATAATATTAACTTATATTTGATTGATTAATTTTTCGTCCAGTCTCAACATCAACAGTTGTAAGTAATTGAATCTTGCCCACACAATATGAACGTTCTCGATAAAGTATACCAGCTCGTAATCGCAATTCGTGACCGACTCACACGCGGGATGTACTTGGTGACAATAAACACATAGTTACCAGTCCACATCCTTGTTGTAAAGATAAACCAAGTAATATACCTCCGGATTCAAAAATGTATAGCAATTTATATCCTGAGTATTTACCTGAAGGACTAAAGTCCGTTGTTCGACGGTAGCGGTAAAAACCTAGTCGCCAAGTCCATGTGTATGCAGGCGTATTTTACACATCCGTCTGTTGTGTCTTTTGCAATAATATTATCGTTTACTTTGCCAACAGGAATCAATTTATGTTTACGTAAATCAACGTAATCAGATTACGGATCTAATGCAGTTATTACCTTAGTTAAGTTACCTTGTTGTTATTTTTCCAGTTTGAAATTGCCAACCCGCATTGAGCAAGCGTGGTGATTTATGCTCTCACCTTCTCCATGTGAGAAGAGGCCTTTGCTCAGCAGTGGGCACTTATGGGCTGATGATGATGATGATGATGATGAAGTTACTTTGTTGTTATGAATAAAATGTTTTTGGTATTGTGATTGCGACCCGCTCCGGCTTTGCACGGGTGCAATGCTGATACTAAAATCCACTACTTATTTGGTGTTATTAAACATACTAGCTTTTGCCCGCGACTTCGTTCGCGTGCAGTAGTGACTTCCTACAGAGTTTTGGTTTCACCCAAATAGATTTTGGTAATTTTCCGCTCCCACAGGATTTTCAGGAAAAACTATCCTATGTCCTTTCTCGAGTTGTAAAGTTTGTCTTGGCAAAATTTCACACAAAACGGTTTAGTAGTTTAGACGTGAAGAAAAGACAGACAGACAGAGTTATTTTCGCATTTATAATATTAGTTTGGATTGACCCTCCTCTTATATCACTATATCTAGTTAAATAACCGCATCAAAATCGGTTGCGTAGTTTTAGTAAATTAAGCGTGCAAAGGGATATAGGGACAGAGAAAGCGACTTTGTTTCATAATGTGTAGTGATAGTGATACTTTTTATTTGTCGTTAATGACAGTGCGCCTATACATTGGGTAAAATACGTAATGCATGTTGATGGTTATATATGGAAGCAAAGACTATCATTAATGACCTAAAACAGTAGGAAAATTAAGAAGGCCGAAATATGATAAACATAGTCATAAATTAAAATCCGTGTGATATACATAATAAAATTAATTCCAATAATATTTCAAGGTTCGAAACCAAATACTAGAATGCAATGAAGATATAAATTTATTCAATTGAGTGCTATTTGTGTACTTTATAAAACTTATAATATTTCTTTTGGCACACAATCAATTGCAAAAAACGGCATTCGTAAGTTGCATCAAATTGTGACATTGAAGATAATATTGAATAATGATTTAATTATAAATTAACGTTTGGATATTTTTGGATTTGAGGTTTATATTATTATATAGGAGACATTTATGATAAATGATGATGATTATTAAAATCTTCAAACTCCAATTCAATGAGAATCTTTCATTTGGGTCATAATTTTATTTTATTTCAATACTAGCTTCCCACCGCAGGCTTCGCATGTGTATAAATAAAGGTGATTTATCTCGGGATTTTAAAATCAGCAGCGTTTAAAGCGATAGCTCGACTAAAATTTGCAAACCAAGTATCTAACTTATAGCACTCGGAGCATTGTAGCTATCTATCAGTGAAAGAATTTTGGAAGCATTTCCAAACATTTCCCCTACATACAAAGTTACAAATTTTACCATTTTATAATATTAAGTGTAGACGATTTCTTGTTGTCTTCGTAGAATATTAACCGGAGGATTGGAAAGAGTTTTAAACTTGACTAACTTGACTAAGAACTTTAGTTTGCTGTTGATTAATGATCAAATTTCATTTTTTTTAAATTAAATTGCAATATATTGGTAGGAAATCTGTGTCATTCAGGATGTGTGGTAGCTGTGATAGATCAAACCTAGTCATAGGAAATCCTCATCCTCTGATATGCATTGATTGCAATAGGGGTTTAAAAGAGTTTATTTTTCATTAATTGTATGCATTTTGAGAGCAGTTGTAGTAGAGTTAAAATGCTCTTTACAAATTTATGACCGTGGATGGTAATGTTCTATTTACAAAGAGACAATGGTTCTGAAGTGGTGATAAGAAACGTGACAAAATCCTTAAGTGAAGATTTGAATGGTTTTTTTGCAGCGATCAACTATGGAATCTTAAAAAGGTGCAACGTTTAATGAACGAGGAAATTTGATGAAAAGATGGACAATGAAGCTTTTCTTTAACAATGAAGATGTGAACATGGAGCCCAACGCGGAGCACCCCGGAGCCCTAGGCCGAGCCACTCCGGAGCCCCCCCCACACCAACGCACACTCGATCCACTACGTCACAACACAATTACAAACTTAACTGCTTTTTTTGCCCTTTTTGCGGTTGGTAAAATACGCGTGGCGCCACTGTCCATACATTTACATACACGTTTTTTAGTTCCACCATTTCGCCACCTGTGAGCCAGAACCCCCAATAAATAGCTACTGATAAGTTTGAAGTATAGAACGTAATTTGTATGAACTGCCACAAACAAACGTTTTATATTTTAATCACTAAAAAGACGTCATTAAGAAAAAACGCCTACACAAGTCTCATTATATTATTAAAACTAAATAGTTGCTTGGACTTGCTTAAGCTTTATATGCGAATTTCGTTAATTATCGACCATTATATTATTATATTATTTTTAGTAATTGATTGTTAGAAATAAAGTTTTACGATGACAACATAATTTGTAATACGAAAACATGGAACCACAAAGAACCAGTTTAGAATGGCCTCTGTTTCTGTTTTAAAAAAAACGTTGCCCCTCATTAGGATTTTCTCCTGTGTCGTGAGTCCGGTTACAAACATACAATTTCACATAAACATGACACCCAAACCCGGAACAACAATTTGTGGATCACACAAAGAGTTGTTCCGTCGGGAATCGAACCCGCGACACAGCACAGCTACCGCACCAACCGTGCAGTCGAATCTCTCGGTCTCGCTTTGCTTGTACATTGATTCGTACATTCAGCGGTCAGTTTATACTGGCTATCAAATTTGGATTGCCATAGCTTGATATGTGGCCAGTGAGCATAAGAGTATCTTCATACATATATTTAAGTACGTAGGTATAAACGAGCAATTCCTATACTTAAAGGATTACGGAAACGGCTCTAACGATTTCAAAGAAATTTTATATGTACATATATATTCTGAATGATTTCGAGGGCAAAAAATAATGTAGCTAGATAATTAGACATAATAAATAAAATGGATCGGACATCCAAGTACTATCTATTGACGATTAAATACGAGTACTCGTTTAGTTAGGTACGGTATGACGAGTGGAACACCGTTTTGGCACTGTAGTAAAATACTTAATCATTTGTCGGGTAATGAGGACACCTCATTACCCGACAAATGATTAAGTATTTAAAAAGTATAAAGCTACAGATGTTAAATATTAATTTTTTTCTGAATCAATACAAATATTTCGATATAAATAGCGACCGTAGAATACGATCGTGGCTGATGATGTAGGGATAAAAATATTTTTCTGATTTAAGTACATTCCACCGAACTTCGTTATTTTAGCTGTATTTATATAAAAGATAATGCATTAGTTACTTTAATTTGTCTTTCCAATAAATAATAAAAAAGTAATAAACTCACCTGGATCACAGAACACAGGTATCATAACTTGTAGTGTTGACACTAACATCACCAGGAGCCATATTCGACTCCCTACTGTATCTGGTGCTGCCATTTTATTTGTTTAAGACCTGAAAAAGAAAACAATATTGCGTCAGTGATAAATGAAATTACACTAAACAAGAGACATCGTGACCAAACGTTGGTTTACTTAAAATATAAAAAAAAAACTTTTATGTAAGAACTAGGCGGTAACTACGCAGTGACTAGTGACTACGCTGTGACTACGAGGTGATTACGCTGTGACTACGTTATGACTACGCGATGACTGTGCTGTAACTACGCGGTGACTACGTGCTGCCGTTAAGTTGGTAAATTAGCAGCCTCTGTGCCGTAGTAGTAGCTCCTTAAACACGTCCTCTGATAGTGTTTAACAGTAAAATTACCTAACGATGAATTATACACGTCACGTACTTGGTTGTAAATATGTAGGTGGTACCAGACAGAATATTATACAGACGAGTATCTAGGATCTCTTTGTACTTCTCCGACGTAATTGTAACTTTGTGTCTTTTCTAGCATTCCTTCTTACTACCAGACTTATTAGATTTGTATCAGACTTGTATTGACTAAAATAAATTAGCATTTATCACCTTCTTTTAAGTATGCATTGTTTAATTTATATTCAGCTTTATAAGGGCTCCATATAACGAAACGACTAACAAAATAACAAGATTAGGCATGCATTAATGCACGTAGCATTAGCGAGGATAATATATTTTTTATGAAAATGGAATAACTATTTCATGGATGTTTAAACTTACCTACTTCAATTGTAATAATTTGAAAATAACACTTTTTATGCATGTAGTTAAATCAAGAAACAATTAAGTTTTTGTAAGTCACGTGAAATAATAAAGGTGACGCTGACAATTAAAACTAGCGCGATAAATGTGTTCTAATTTTAAATCAATCAAGTGATTTTTTTTTATTTTGCTTTTAATACAATAGACAATAAATATTATCAGCCAGCCTTGTGGCTTGCATAGTTACGTCCAAAGAGTTCTTTATCTAATTTTACAAAAAGTTTCTTCTAAAGCTTTCATTTCTTGATTTATGAATAAATCGTAAATTCAGCCTTTACCTCATACTATAGCATTTTAAGACGAAAGGTTAATGAACTTTAACTTATTGTGGTGTTTTACGCGGAAGTCTACACATAAGGCGCCGTGCTGTCAACTATAATTTCTGTTTTAATCATTAAATTGACATTTTACACCCATGTCAACGGTTGTAAAAATGATTGATACAAGTTAAAGGTGTGGTCAGATGCGTTATTGTTGAGTTATGGGGCTTTACATTCCAATTAAGGAACTTTATTAAATTTGTGTTTGTTATATACGCAAATTGATAAGGATTTAGGTCGTTATGTAGCTTAATACTTAATACACATTCTTTAAGTCAAAGAAAGTGGAATTGAACATTTTTTTTAACACTATAAATCAGAATCTTCTATATATTTTCGTACTTAGAAAAGTCATCTTGTTTTACTATGTACATTTAAAACTTAATCCCCAACTTAAACATTTATAATTGAATATGCAATCTGTTCTTAGTGTAGGTTAAGACATAAAATATCCTTTTTAAGGTTGTAACTAGAGCAAATCGTGTAGTTTACATATATGACATAAACCTTGTATCAAAGATGAAGCTTGAAGGTATAGGCGTTGTAATATCAGCAATAAACAGTTAACCTAATTACATTACACGATGTAATATCCCATAAAATGTAGCCTCTATACAAAATTAAATTAGCATATCAACTGACTATTATGGGCATTAACAGGGGAACGATGTTTGCAAGATGTAATTTTTAGACGTAATTTTTGGCACTAATAGTATAAAAAAATAAAATAAAATAATGCTTCAAACTTTATCCCAAATAAATAATCATTTAGATGTAAGCAATCGTCAATTGCTCAATTCGCAGAAAACTAAATATTAGTTTATCTTTGGTATAATACTGTGTTTATATTTTATTTAAAAATAATACATTTTCGCATGATGTTCTTTGTAGAAATGCGCCAAAATTATAAACATTCTAATTTCAAATTTGACAACCACAAAAATGGCTACAGCACACCATAAAAATGTTACCAGCCAGTATTCTTTACTACAAATTTAAAACGAGTTTATATATTATATTTAGGATGAATATTTCTAAACTTCATATATTTTTTTCTTTCGATATAAGTAGGTATAAATAAAATACTATACTAACGTATACATATATATCGTATTAGTACGCAGATAGTTTTGATAACCTTATTCCTGCGGTCAATGTGGGTTTTGATAAGTATCTAAGCCTACATAACCAAGAGTTAAGAGCTAAATTGAAGGATATTTCACAGAAAAGGCTTGGTAAGTGGATATCTCACGTCTATATTTGTATCTGAGTCAAGTCGGAAGTGTTTCCTAGTAATAGGTCTTACCTATGAAATTGCCGTTTTGCATGAAAAAATTTAAACGATTTTTTTGATTTGAAATGCGATATAAATGTAACACTAATCAATAAACAAATGACTACTTTTGGAAAAAGAATCCCATGTTTTTAAAAACAAAATTAATTAGCTTTTGCCTAACAAAAACTATTTTGATTTGAAATGGCCAGTACTGCAGAACGGCAATTTCATAGGTAAAGACCTATTATTATGGAACATTCATCGATTATAACAAATTAACAGTTTATTGTTCAATTAGAATTATTCAATGATTTAAGCGTCTCAATCAGGTATTGTTCTCAACAAATGCGAGCTGGGAAGGCTGCTACTAGATTTAAAATTTTACTGCTCTTGAGAATTTACCTTATTTTATTTCATTATTTTGCCTTAATAAAAAACCATAAATAAAAAAATACAGATATTAGTATTATAAAATGCTAATTGTTGTTATTTTTAAAACGTAGGTACCCAAAGAAAGTTACACGACACCTGCTAAACGAGATTTTGCTTACAATTAATACTAATATTTATTATTCTATTCTATAATATAGGTACATATATTGTACCATTTCGACATTTTTATTACTTGAATATACATACATTGCTAGTTTTCTATAAAAAAACTATAAATTTGATTAAAGATGCCGAGGACTGTATAAAGTGCATTGTGCAAATCTCGCTTGACCATGTTTATCTATATTTCGTTGATGAGGTTGTAACTAAGGAGGGACGTTCACTTGCTCGAGACATGAATATTAATAAAACTTGAAGCTGACTCACACTTCGCAGAGATTAATATATTGTTATTATAAAGGTATAAACGGTAAAGATTTTTTTACAAAGAAATATAAAAATTGTTATCCATTAAGAGGCTGACGTTAGGCAGCATCAAGATCAGCAGGCAGGATCAAGGGCCTGATACAATAGGCAGACCTCCTTGAAACGGCACGTATTGTGAGGAGGTTTCTGTCTGTAGATTCCTAACCACCGGTAGCTTGGATTTTGCTCCCGCAGCCGACTGACTCCTCTTTATATTATTTTATTATAGTAATATTTAAAAATGTAATTTTTAGAGGAATTAAAATAAATATGTGATAAAAATTATCTATTTCGTTCATGAAAAGTGTGGTTGGTCAATCATACATACTCCTGTAGGTACAACTGTTTTAAATGTATGTATTAACGTATCAAAGTAGATCAAACATTTTAAACATCATCCTAAGAGTATGTTTTTAACACTAAGAATTTCAAAAATTAAATGACTGATTTACTTTATCCTGGTACCAAAATTGCGCCTTGTTTCTGTGCTGCAGTTCTCGTGGTTTTTGACCCATGTTGTAACAAGACAGACGATTAAAATAATATTTATAATCACAAAGCATCAGACGGTAATGGGTTTTTAACAATAAAATGACAGTAAGGTAAAGAAATAATAGTTGTAATGCCTACAAAACACTAACAATACATGGTTTTTATGTGAGGGGAAATCATCAAATGACTTATCCCGGACGTGAGGGAGTGCCAGACTCTCTCTTTTAGTACTGACTAAAATCCCCCCTGTTCCTACTCCTGCTCTGGGCCGAGGTCGCAGTACCTCATTGCGCTTACTCCGCAACCCCGGCTGAACATCAGCTCTATAGGGCCCCGTCTCTGGTGGTCTATTGGCTCTTTGAGGCAACAATACATGGGGTGAAATCGTCGTTACGACAGAAATAATCACACTCCAGGGATGTATGGACGTTTGGACATGTTCGCAAATAAAATTTAAAATAAATAGAAATTAAATTTGTATAAAAAGTTTTAGGATTTTAATGTCGACTTAAATCTCTAATGATTTCGTTCTGAGTAACAGAGTTAGTAAGATTTTTAATGTTGTATTAAGATGTAAGATTATTGCCGTGAATTTCAATCAATCAATAAGCTCTCTATCCTGAACTTCATATGTTGTGTGTGAGGTATTTGTTTTCCTCTTTTAGAGGATATCCCTTAGTTCAGTGTGCCTTCTGGCAAAGGCCTCCTCTAACATTTTCCATTGTATCCTATCTCTGGTAACCCTTCTCCAGTAAGGGCCCGCTGTAAGTTTTAGCTCGTCTTCCCATCTTTTGAGTTGTCTTCCTCGTTTCCTTTTTCCATCTCTGGGATACCAGTCTGTCACAATTTTACTCCACTTATCCTGAGTACTCCTTAACATGTGGCCCACCCATCTCCATTTTAGTTGGTCTATCTTCGTAAGGATATCCACAATTCTTGTTTTGGATCTTATAAGGGTATTTCGTTCCCTGTCTTGCTTCTTGATGCCCAACATGCTTCTCTCCATCGCTCTTTGACAGCACTGCAGCCTATCTCGGTGGTGTTTCGAGAGAGACCATGTTTCACACCCATATGTGATGCAAGGTAGGATGCAAGTGTTGTATACTTTCCGTTTTGTACCGATGCTAAGGTCGTTGGCCTTCATGATTTCTTTGAGTGACCAATATTTTCTCCAACCGTTTGCTATCCGCCTTTTGATCTCCTTGTCCGTCTGATCCTTGAATGAGATGATCTGTCCCAGGTATATATACTCTTCCACGTATTCGAGAGGTTCGTTTTTTAATGATATAACTCGGTAGTCAGAGTTTGTCAGAAGCTTGGTTTTAGTGGTATTCATGGATAGCCCTATTTTCTCACTTTCTCTGTTCAGGTCTTGGATCATATTCTCTAATTTTTCAGGGTTTTCTTCGACGATGACAATATCATCTGCGAACCTTAGGTGATTTAGTCTTCGTCCATCTATGCTTAGACCAAGTTGGTCCCATTCCAGTTTTCTGAATATATTCTCCAACACTGCAGAGAAGAGTTTGGGGGATAATGGATCCCCTTGCCTGACACCTCTGTTTATATTGAAGGTCTCCCCCAAACTTTCTAGTTGTATTCTTGCTTTAGTGTTGGAGTATATAGATTTGATGGTTTTTATATATTGTGTGGGGATTCCTTGGTGTTCAAGACTTTCCCATATGGCTTTGTGGCTAATGCTGTCGAAGGCCTTGGTGTAATCGACGAATGCCATATACAGACACTTATTATACTCGTTGTATTTTTCTATGAGTTGTTTGATAGTATGTATATGGTCCACTGTGGCAAAGTTTTTTCTAAAGCCCGCCTGTTCCATTGGTTGGTTTTCGTCTAGTTTAGTACTTATGCGGTCTAGAATAATTTTGGAGAAAACCTTATAGACGTTGGACATCAGACTTATTGGTCTATAATTTCCAATATCTTCTTTTGGTCCTTTTTTATATATAAGGATTATATGAGATGTTTCCCACTGCTCAGGTATGTTTCCTGAAGTTATAACTTTGTTGAAGATTTTAGTTAGAATAGGAGCCAGTTCTTCAACTGTTCCTTTCAGCAACTCATTCGTAATCTTATCAGGGCCTGGTGCTTTATCAGATTTTTGGCTTAGTATTGCTTTCCTGACTTCACTGGGTAAGATTTCGGGCTCTGGGTCTGATGGGCATGGGTTAGGTGTACGGATTTCATAAATTCCCTGATTGGTGTCATCTTGGTTGGAGTATAGATGCTGGTAGAATTGTGTAGCTGCTTTGTTTATTTGTTTTCGATTTGTGATGTTGCAGTGGTTATTTTTCAGGGTTGGTATCCATGGATTTGACTCGCGTAGTTCTTTAAGAGCTTTTCTTGTTCCTCCAGTAGCTAAAATATGTTTGAATGCCGTGAATTTACTGTGAGAAAATTAGATTAAAAAGCCTTTATTACAAAACATATAAAATGTCGTGGTGGCCGGAGGTTAGGGAGCCCGCTTCTCATGTATGAGGGTGTGGGTTCGAAACCTGGCAAGTACCAATGTGACTTTTTCCGAGTTATATGTACTTTCTATGATTATTTAGACACAACTGACATACGGTGAAGGTAAACATCGTGAGGAAACCTGGACTTATAATTTCTAATTATAAGTTTGAAATCGCTAACCCGCATTAAGCAAGCGTGGTGATCAATGCTCTAACCTTCTCCGTATGAGAAGAGGCCTTTGCTCAGCAGTGGGCACTTATAGGCTGATAATGATGAATGATGATGATTCACACTTGAGATATTAAATCATTTTTTTAAATCTGTTCTGCATAAGACTCTGAACAAATAAACATTCTTACTTGCAAATCTCTAAATATCATAAAAAAAATCAAGACTCGATTTACGACTCGATTTTGCAAGACGGAGTAGGTAATTATGGAAAAGTATTCACACTTTGGAATGAGCAAATAGCTTCACTAGAGGACAGACGGACAGACTGACACGCTTAAAGTTAGGTAAAGCTCTTGAAATACTTTATTCTTTTTTTTGCTTGACTTTCGAAAGTGCCTACTGTAGTCTAATTGAAATAAATGATTTTGATCCAGAAAATATGCTATAATAAAATTATATTAGCCTACAATCATAAGTTGAATTTATTATCTGTTAATTATTATATATGTCCCATTTATTACAATGACAGTTCATATTTTGTCACACAAATTTGACCTTTAAGCCAATTGCCTTTGGTTTCAGAGAATGCTTTCTTTGCTACAGTTTATATTACCGCCTTCACAGTTTGACCTTATGAACATAAAGTGATAGTGTACCTGCAGACTTATGTCTGCAAATCATCATTCTCTATTTTGGATTTTCGACTTTATTCTCTGTTGAACAAGATGGAAAATGTAATAAAGCAATTTGACAGAAAGGAGCAGGTTGTCCTGCTAGCCACTGTACTGTTTGTACCTGCTTCACTGCGGACATAAAATCGCGGATTGAATTCGAACAAAAAGTGCAAAGGTTGAGAGTCGGTGTTTAGCTGGGACGTTGTATGTTATGGTCGAATTTTTGTGCCTGAAGAAAAAATATGAGGTCACAAGAATCTAAAGAAAACCTATATACATTTGTTTAGTAAGACAAATGTATTTAAGAAAAGGTAAATTCAACTTTCGGTAATGTTTTTGTCTTTCAAACTTTACCTAGAAATATGTTTTATTTTTTTTGTGAGGGGAAAATCGTCAAATGTCTTCTCCCGCCCAGGGCCGGGCGAGAGAGAGTGTCAGACTCTTACTGACTAAAAAGCCCCATGTTCCTTCTCCTGCTCTGGGCCGAGGTCGCGGTGCCTTATTGCGCTTACCCCGCCACCCCGGCTGACCCAGAAATATGTTGGATTCGCATTGTCTTAACTTTTACTATCCATGCCCACTATAAGTACTTTTTACCTATAGTTCTGTGAAGGGGATGAAAATCTGGGTATTTCTGCTACTTCTTGCTTATCTATTTATTGTTTAGGATTTAAATTCCACGATATTTATTTCAGTAAAGCTAATGACACTAAATCTCCCCATACGGTGTGCAGAAAATGTCAAGGATCAAACACAAGGATCCATTTGCATTCGAACTGGTTTCACATTTTATTGTAAATGATATCTCTTTAATTTTCCGCATACATATGTGTATAATTACAATGAAAAAAATATTTTTTGTTATCATCTGCAAATTGGGCAACGAATTTGATAACAATAGATACATAGATAGATTTAATACTTAATTTGTGGTAATAAAATAAATATCTAAGAATTTGTATCTATTCTCGTAGTTCTATATTATTCAGAATATTTAAAAAATTTCATTTTAAACAGATAACATTTTCCTAACTATGAATAATAGAAACTGCGCTATAACTATACATCAAAGTGGAGTCATAAAGTTAAAATCAAGTCAGTATATCAAGCTCACGTTGAACGCGTTGCCATATACCTGTTTTTAGAAGGGATCAGATACCTACAGCTGCCAAGTGTTCGATTGAGCCAAAAGGCTTTATGGGTTGACAGCCATGTACCGGGCTCATTAGATTTTATAATGACAACATATCACAAGGACGCCACCTCGCTCGGAAAGATGTACGCCGAGATGTCTGGCCTACATTATTATAGTGTTGTGCAATACCAGATTCATTCGCATAGTCACCCAGTAACGTGGCCACACAAACGTATTACGTGAAACTTACATTGTTCGAAGATAAAACACGTCGCGAATATGAAATCGTGAGTGATGATATTTAAGACTATTACAGAAAAGGTCGGATTGTGAGAGAATACTAAGTGGAAGGGACCACTACTTTGCATGCTGAACAGATAATAGACATGGATATTCCCCAACTTGAAGTTCAAGTACTGGTTAAACATATCAAGTATTGAACTAAGCTCCAAGTCAAGAATGGCGTGCCTTTATTAAAACATTACAGAGGTCGCACCGAACAATAACATTCTTTAAATACCAAGTGTTAAATTAAGTGTTTTGGGCAAGTACACCTAATTATAACAATAAAACCCATTATATATGGAGGTTAATTTTTCTCATGATGATCCGATAAGTGTTTGAATTATTAAATAAAATAATGGTTGGTCATGTATAATTGCGCTTGGGCAAGCGGCGCGTGAATTTGACCCATTTGCCGACAAGGCCGACTTGCCAAACCACCAGTAAGCATAGTGCTTACAGTGCAACAATATCTTCTGCCGCATCAGAGTCGCAGGTACTTACTATAAAAATAGTTTTACGAGTTCTCTAATATGTAATTTAACGTCCGATCTAGAATATTCTAAAAAGTTTGTTTATATAAATAACTTCCATGTGTTTAGTTAAATCAAACAAAGTTACTTATATCCCATCTAAGTACATCTAGAAATTTTACACAAGAATTTGTTAATTGAATTGAATTTGATATCAATTTCAAGTTCACGAATTTCTTAGAATGCGCGTCAAGTAGGTCATAAGGCGTAATGCCATGTCACCTTCGTTTCTTCGATCCTCCGCCATAACTCACATATGTCACTTATCACACAACAAATACGTGATATTTACCTCAAGGGGCCTTTGATATTAGAATCTTTATTTATAAACTCCTCAAATTAATTTAAAATATGTCGAAAAGTTTTAAAACCTCACAAAGATTTAGAAAGAGATTAATTATGAACGAGGCGATAGTAACTTTGCTGATTTTATGCAAATATGACTTTAATTATCAAATAAAATAGAAATAATCTTGTGTCTAACAAAATCGTTAATTTAGATTGACGATCGTAACGGTTATGGACGGATAGATTTTATTACAAAATCAGACATATGCTCATTCTTTCTGAGTTTATTAGGAACATAGAAAGAATTAAAAATTCCAATAGTTCAGCTGAAAGAGCTTTGAGTACCTTTATCAAAACTAAAACACCTTAAATAATATTAACATAACGTTACCGATCGAACACTAAACACAAATAAAACGAAAACAACAGTAAATCAATAAAAACAAAATACACCCGCATCGTCATCGTAATCGTCTCGTGATTAATAAGTACATCAAAGTGACATAATAAGTAACTGTTGAGGTGCTGCATTTATTGTTTATGCACGTTACGACCTCCGGCACATGCCGCCATCGTATTGTAATAGGTCATTGGCAGGATGTCAAAGAGGATACTCAGTAGTGAATCACACGGACTCGGATTCGGTGAACCTCGAAGGTTCCTCAATCAACTCATGCAACACACGGATGCCATGGAGTCGGTAATCTAACGTAACGTAACAATAATTAGTAGTGATTAATAGTTCCGTCTTTAGTTGGTCTATTCTTTGTTAATGTCTTTATCATGATGGGCATAAAACTGACGAGTCTCAAAACGAACAAAGCTTCTTTCAACGGATTTTATCATTATAATACTTAACTTAATACAATTGTACTTAATTGTAATGAAACATTTTTCGTTTATATTTAACTCGGTTCAATCAACCATCGGAATGTCCAAGATAATGTATGAAGAAAAGGACCTTCCGTTCATTTCGCACGAGGAGTCAAGCAAAGTTGCCCAACTGTCACCTTGTGAATCACTTACTCGCGGTTGGTCACGTACCTTTGTTACAACTCGGCTCACTGCGGAAATACTTTTTGATAATCCGAAATAGAACATACCGCCTACATTAACTTAACTATTGAAATAATTACTCATCAGTTCTAAACTCAAAGCAATTCTAAACATCAAATCCTTGAGCATTAAATGCCGTTAAATATAAGTTTAAATGCAGTGTGCGGTTTGGTCGGCCTTTACACATTTTGCAGGATACCTTGAATCGATTATCAGCTTTATCTCGCTTTGTCAGCCCAGCTGATCTCAAAATGCCGGTCATACTCAGACCGGTCCGTGCTTAACTGTTCATCTAATGTAACTGTGCACACTAATATTGTAGGTGTGCGGTAGGCTAACTTAAAGAGGACGACTCGGTATTGTTACAAACTTTTCAATTAATATGCTAATTGTACGTACATTTTCTTTCTCTTGCCATGAAATACGAATGTTTCTAGTTAGCAAATGAATTAGGACAATAGCCTGTGGACGAGGAGGCTGACGTCCAGTCAGTCTGGTCGCGTCCTTGCGTTCACTACTAACGTTTGCGCCCACTTCTTATCATCTAATGTCATCGTCTAATGTAGAATGGACCATTATGACTAGTAGAAAGGCGGCAGACTCACCTCTTAATTCACAAAAGCATCACTTTGGTGTACAAACTAAATTTATTGATTCAGTCACGAGACCCCATGCACTGTCGCCGGTCGGATGTTATCGATGTATAACACAAATAGTTCACACGAAAACTGTTTACGGAGCGAAAGCGGTTAATGTTTGTACGCGGAAGTGTGGGTAGTGGCCGATGTTGTCGCGCCAGCGTCGAAGGCGGTCGACTCGCGCGCGGCTGCGTGTGCGACTCGCGGCGACGTTCGTTTCACCGGCAGAGGTGTCGCGAGGAGAAAGTCTCGGCCGTGGTGCGCCCGCGTCGGTTGGCCGACAGCGCCGCGACGTGGTGGGGCCGTGACGTCGCTCGCTAAACCAACAGCCACCTGAGCATCACCAGCGATTGCTTCACCGTTCCACGCAAGTCATTGTTGCATGCATTGAGATGAACAGCTAATGAGTTGTATGATATCTGCTATGTAAGTATTAGGAAACCGACAGTTTGAAATATTTTGGCAAGATAAATAATATTATCAGCAAATCAATCAAATCAGTATTGACTAAACGGCTGTCTGTTTTTAGTAAAATGTACAATGTTGAAATACTTGTTACATACATCAAAATATTTTTAATAAATATTTAAATGCATGCAGCAACCGTATGGATTCATGCCGCAAGCGTGAGCCCGCGAATACATACAGTCTTCATAAAATGAATTTGTAGTCTTTGGGGTCGTCTATTGTTTTTTCTTGTGAACTTTGTAACTGTTGTAAATGAATACAAATGAACGCAGCGCTCGACATATCGTATAATTTAACCAATTAGCCGATGTTCCCACGGAACTCCTCACATCCCCTCGAGACGTGAACATACGCGAAACATGTTGAATGAATTGAACGTATAGGAGTGTACCAATGGAAGAAACGTATCTCAACACTCAATTAAACATAGGGAAATATTAGTTGTTAAACATGATTTATTTGTTATGATAGTAACCGTTGAAAAGGAATTAGGTTGTAGTTCCATTGGCAAGGTTAATTAATTAATAGGAGTTATGAGTGATTACTATCCCGAGGCAGCGAATAACTTCATAGTGAACAGGTCAATCAGATGACGAAATCAAACGCATGTTGTTACCACGGACAAAAGGGACTTGTCTAACATATCAAGTAACAAATTAAAACGGAGATTTACTTTGAGGAATCATCAGCGTCATTAAAAATATTTATTGCGGTAGTTAGCTTAAAGCAACAGACAAAGCTCGGGGGAGACGCGTTTTACATTCTTGATGACAAGTCACCCATTCGCCAGAACAGGGACGGATTTGACTTGTTTACATAAATGGTATTTGTATATTTGTATTTGTATTTATATTGGTTCGATTTAAATTTACGCATTTTACTGAGTATTATAATCGTACTGAATTAATTGAATCAGTTAAAATAGAATAATAAATAAAAGTTTTATTTTCGCCAAAGGAATTGGCGTATATGTTATTCTTAGTGTCAATATTTTATTTAAATCAATTTATTATTAAAAATTAATCCTTAGTTATTTCGTTATTGACTGAGTCAGTCTATTTTAGAGTATGTATTAAAATTGTATATTTTCTGAACACAACATACTACTGAGATATAGATCTTAAATATTTATCACAAAAAACGCTGAAAATAAATGAAAAATTCACTTTCTCATGTCTCGAGTGCGTGCCTGTGACATCGGCAGCCATCTGTTTATACAATTATCGGTTAAGAGCGAGTCAGTGGCGCGCGCTGTTCTTCCTAAATGACTCCTTCATGAGCGATATCCATCGGGATACTTATTAGTGGGCCCACATTCGTCCCCGGATTAGTACGCATCCTGCATCCGAACTAACAACTATCGAAAGAACTCGCAAATTACATAGAACATTTCGTATTTAATAAATTTTAGACAAATATTTTTTTAAATGCAGAACTTTCTAAATTATCAGTGTACTGAAGAAACATGGGAGCAGCATATGTTTTCCGTGAGTTCCTACAAACATCCAGATTCGCAACCAGCAGCGAAGCAAAGGTGTCAGGCAAACGCGCGCGAGAGGGATCGGACGCAAAAGTTAGTATTGATACTTACCTATTTTATTATAATGTATACTTGTAAACATATCTATAGTTATATTTTATATTATAAAGCTGTATAGGTTGCAACTTTTTATTGTAATGTTATAACTCAACCATGCCTTTACCGATTTGGCAAATTTTGGTCTTGAATTATTCGTGGAAATCCAGGGAAGGTTTAATAGGCCAAAACAAATAACTAATTTGAGGCGGTACGGACCTCGCAAGGTTAGCTAGTTATTACATACTTAATAGATGTACCTAGTAGTAGTGTTTAATTCTTAGGACCAAGAAGTCTTTCAGTGCTTTTGAGATTATTATTTTTTTCATTTACGAATTATGTTGTCTTATATATGTATATTTTTGCTCCCAAGTAGTTGAAACCTTATAGGACGTATTGTTTTATTTTAAGTTCTTCAAAACTTATTGATTTGTGGTTTTAATAATTCTACTATCACATCGTTCGTTCGACTATCCCACGATTCCTTAAGGACGATTACTTTCAAACGCAGAAATATAAAATAAATGATGTAATTTAATTGACAAGGCTATAATGATTACTTAAGTAAGATATCGTTTGTCGAGATAAGATCAGAATCCTCACATTTGGCGCCGACTGACTACTGTATTTTAAAGTTTAAAAGAGACGGGTGTTAGATTGCAAATGGTATTTTGTAACATAAGTTGCCAGAGTTTTTTGCATCTATTATATTTGTATTATTTTCACGTTTTAAATTACTATCCGGCTAATATATCAATCAACTAATTTTCAGCTACTTAAATTATAACAATTTTGTACCTGACTGAATTTGGCATATTTGTTTGTGCATAAAATTGTTTTAGTATTGATGTTTTATGTGAGCATGAATTACAAATTATTATAAATAAAAAATGTTAGAACTGTATGTGCGACAGATATTTCCAGATATAAACATAAAATTATAATTTGAATCTCATTTAATCCAATTATATTTTTTTCCGTACACCTGCAACCACTTTTCTATAACTTATCATAAATTCCTTATTCTCCTTTCCCTAAATGACTTGAAATAGAATTGTTATCAAAATATTTGTATTTCTAAGCAGCGTCAACATAGCATTCAACACACTGCGCTTGCTCATCCCTACGGAACCACCGGACAGGAAGCTCAGTAAAATCGAGATCCTTCGTCTCGCTGGCAGCTACATCACACACCTCGACAATCAACTCTATACTGGTAACATAAAGATCATTATCCTCTAATTATTGCTAGATCCGGCTTTCAAGAACTATATTTTTAAGTAGATAAGAAATAGTTGGGCCGAGGCTAATTGTAATCTGATGCAATCAGAGCGGTTTCTGTTTTGTGGTCTCTGAATTGATGTGGCCTTTGTTAGGCTATTGGTGTAATGTGTGTTGAGTATACTCCATTATTTGTACTCTATATTTGTAGATTTCCTGATTTCCGTGTCGATATGGATCATGTTTGCTATTAACACTCATTATCTAATTTAGTGCCATTTCCAGGTATTTTAAGGTGATTTAATTTCGTAAGAAGGCTCTTTGATCCCTATCGTTTACCTATTTCATACAAACATAAACATATCTGTAGGTTATCTAGATTCGTTGAATCGATTACCTAGTTTTTGTTGGTTCTACGTATGAAAAGAAGAATAGATGCCTCGAGCGGTTTTGTACATTCCAAGTTGCGTTTTTTTTAATTTATGACCTGGTGCCTATATTCTAAATGAGCATTGATTCAGGCATATATTAAGATATGCGTCCTATCCTTTTAAAGGTATGTTTTATTAAACAAATAATTCTGGTTTCCAGGAGACTTGGAGCAGCCCTGTTTACAGAAGAATGACGTAAGCGACCAAGATAAATCACTGTGCACTTTTTGCTGGTCGGCCGTTAAAAAAGATGTAAGTGTTAATACATAAAACAGATCTCGAATAAAAAACTTCATTACTTTTTGTATAAGACTTTAAATAATTAACGTAAAAAGTCTGATCGTAATATTATATGGCTCGCAATAAATAACTAAATCACGATTTTCCGACGTAATTATTAACTCGACATAGGCATTAAACGTGGAATGTAATCATGTGATTATATAAGGTATAACCTCATTTTGTGCTGAGTTAATTGTCGTGTTTAGCGCCTGCCTCACCTACCTAAGGTAAGGCAAAAAATCCTTATAGAAGTCTACCTTATCTGTAAAATTAAGGTTTAAATTCATATGAAACAATACGAAGCCTGAAGTTGTACAAAGCTCATCATACACTTGTTGTAAATATAGGTACATTCCGTGCATGCCTCAAAGAGCTAAAGACCACCACAGACGGGGCCCTATAGGACTTTAATGTTCAGCCGCGGTTGGCGGAGCAGGAAACACGATCTAGGCTTTGAGCAGGAGAAGTAACGGGGGCTTTTTTAGTCAGTAAGAGTATGACACTCCCTCACTTTGGCGGGTAAGAAAAGTGACTTGATGATTTTCTCCAGACAAAAAGTATATTTCTTTATTGTGCATGGTCGACAATTTAGTAGTGCATTGTTATAATAATGTGAAATGGGCACCAGTTTAGCATAGTAATTGCATCATACTCCGCCTATGAGATGGGCAAAAGTCCTGTGTCATAATTCCATATTATTATATTCTGCCTTTACATATTGCCGTTCATTAATCTCGCTAAAACTCGAGAAATATTCCTGGATATATAGGGAAGGTACAAAAGATCAGATAAAAAACTTAATAAGTACGAAGTTTGCCAGGTATTATATCTGCACTACCTAATGTTAGTCCCGTTTGGTAGTATGCTTAGTAAATTATACCCGCGTTAAACCGATCAGGGACCATCATTTTTGTAGAAATACATTTTCGTTTAGGGCATTGTTTGGATGCTGAACCAGGGTCCAACCAACTTGCCAACGCTTACGATCGAATAGGATCCGGTCTCATCATAAGTACTTAAGAATGCGTTTCGGAATTCCTTTATTAGGTTACGCATACTTCACGTTGGCGATAATTGAGTTCGTGGGGTAGTCAAAAGGCAAAAGTGATTTAGAACAATGTAGGGTCATATATGACAAAGACATTCAGGCTCTTCAACAAGAACTTTTAGAACGTGAAATGTTCTTAAATGATATGTTCCAAAAATATGAATCTGCCCAATCACAACTCAACAAACACATGATTGAGGCAGGAAAACTTGTGGATTTAGTTACTTTTAGTGCTGAGAGATATGAGTCTCTTGCAAATAACCTTTCATGTAGCTGTGCCCTCACTCCACCCTTTGAGCCAGAACTTGTGCCGGGGCCACAAACAGGGAGTCAACCAGTTGTTACCTACAACGCTGGTGTGTTTACAGACTCAGTGGGTGCAGGTTTTGGGTCACTTATCGCTAATTGTCTTAAATACAGGGTAACGAATTACTGTTATCACAATATAAAATTTGGCCATATGATAGAAAAAATATCACAGAAACAATTAACAGAAAATCAGCCAATAGTAATATTAATGGGTGATAGTACAGGGATAAACAAGCGGGATATAAGTGATGGTATCAACACCTTATTGAAATTAAATACAGGGAAGATAGTATTATGTGCATTCCTATATGCTGACACTCTGTCAAAAATGCAAAATAGTGAAATTCATAATCTAAACAATTTAATATTTTTTCTGACCTGCTGTCATAGTGACAAATTATCATTTTTTGACACTAACAAATTTGTTAGTGGTTTCAAGTTGACCCGGGATTATATGTATATTCCCAGGAAATGTAAATTATTAATTGCTAGTTTGCTAGCAAATAGTATTAATTTATTAATAAGTAGTTTTAGTGACAAATCTATATTGATTAGACAATCTAACAATATAGAGATTAATTGTACATATAATAGCACGAAGGAGGCTCCACATTTAGTTATAAATATGGATAGTACTCCGGATAGTAATCTTTTAAACTGACTTCCACGACAACAGAAGATAACCAATTAAATTACTCAAAAACCCCAATCATTGAAAAGGTTTCTTCTGGCAATATTGTTAAGCATAAACTTAAATTGAAAAATAAAACAGATAACCTGTTGTCATTGTATAGTCAAAATGTTCAGGGCTTAGCATCAAAAATCCTACAAATTGTTTTTAGAAAAGTTCCAATATGATATTATTTGTATAACTGAACATTGGTTAAAAGATTATCAAGTAGAATCAATTAACTTCAATAATTATTGTGTTGGCAACTATTATAGCCGCAAAGAAATGATACATGGTGGTAGCCTGATTTTAGTAAAGAATTTAATAAAATATAAAGAAAGATAAGACATTGCACTGCTATCAATTGAACACTCAATAGAGTTGTCCTGTGTTGAACTGGATAGGCATATTGTAGTATGTGTTTAAAGGCCTCCTAACATACAGAATTTAAATATATTTTGCTCAGTAATGGAAGATGTATTACAGAAAACGTGTTCTAGTAATAAGTATACAATAGTATGTGGCGATTTTAATGTTGCGTTACGGTTTTACGTGCGTTGCACTACGGACGCAGGAGTATTGCTTATAAAACAAGTTTTCAAATCGTGGGAAAAAGCACAGGATGCCATCGGAATATTTTGCGATCTTTCGAAGGCTTTTGACTGTGTTGAGCACGAAACACTATTACTGAAGCTGCAACACTACGGCATTCGGGGGGTATCCCTAAATCTATTAAAGTCATACCTTCTAGAAAGACTACTTACAGTACAAGTAAACAGAGTAAACTCCCAGGGTGCTAGCGTATCTATGGGCGTACCGCAGGGCTCAATATTGGGTCCATTCCTATTTTTGGTTTATGTCAATGACCTACCCCATTTATTCCAAAGTGAACCGCATATGGTATTATTCGCTGATGACACATCCTTGATTTTTAAATTAAATAGACGATCAAATAACTATGACGAAGTGAATAATGCCTTAATGAAAGTTCATAATTGGTTCACAAAAAACAACTTAGTACTTAATGATAAAAAGACGAAATGCATTAGATTTATTTTGCCAAATGTTAAAAGTAACGTATGCGATTATGTATTATTAAGTGGTCAGAAACTGAAATTTGTAAAGGAGACCACATTCTTGGGGATTACTGTAGACGACAAGCTGCAATGGGGGCCCCACATTAGATCTCTAGCAGGGCGGTTGAGCTCGGCGGCTTATGCTGTCTGGAAACCGTCAGCTAACCGACGTAGGCACGGCACGACTAGTGTACTTTAGCTACTTTCACAGCATCATGTCGTATGGAATTCTGTTGTGGGGACAGGCATCCGACGTTGAGTCTATCTTTATCTTACAAAAGCGTGCAGTCAGAGCTATCTATAACTTAGGTCGTCGCGAATCTCTCAGAGAAAAGTTTAAGGAGATCAACATTATGACCGTACCATGTCAATATATTTATGAAAACATTATGTATGTTAGGAAAAACCTACAGCTATTTGTAAAAGTATCTGACAAGCATGACTATCTTACTAGACATAGAAATAAATTAAGTCAGCCTTTATTTAGATTAGCAAAAGTGCATAAGTCGTTCATGGGATTATGTGTTAAATGTTATAATAAAATCCCAACTGAAATACAAAATCTTAATGAAAGTAAATTTAAATTATGTATAAAGAAAGTATTATGTAGGAAAGCATACTACAAACTAAATGATTATATAGAAGATAAAAATGTTTGGAGGGTGGCTGGTTTGACTGCACAGGATAAAAATTGTTAAGGTTAAGAGGAATTTTGATCTCAATTATTAAATTATTCACCATGTTTTAATTGTTGATAAACTGGATTTTTGTAAATGTGAGAGCCCTGTAACTTATTATAATTGAGTTAGACTTATAGACTTATAGTATATTGGTACTTGTGTCAGTTGGGAGTTGTCATGCTCACTCAGGAGTCTCATTGGCGGTGGCACGGGCACTGGACCGCTCGGTTCCCTATAATATGGTTGAGTTGGGCGGTGCTGGTGTACGTGTCATGTTCGTGAACGGACGCCGCCTATTGGGACTGGTCAACTCGAGACTGTCTAAAGTTGCTGTCCCAGAGGGTTATTTCTTTTTCGGATACTTTGGTTAAACACTAGTGTTACACTGTTCTCACATAATGGAACTATCTAAATTATGTAACAATGCATTGTAAAAAGTGATTGAAAAAGAGTAACCATGGAGTTTCTTGCTCGTTCTTCTCCATAGGAATCTACACTTTGGAACGAGCAAATAGCTTCACTAGAGGACAGACGGACAGACTGACACATAAAGTTAAACCTTATGATATCTTTTTTGCTTGACGTTCAAAAGTGCCTTTTTTGGTCTATTTGAAATAAAGAATTTGATTTGATTTGATTTGATTTGATTTAGTCAAGCTTTTTTACCTTGCTAATTTTACGCAAATAGACCTACATTTTTTGCTAGTAACCTCGCTGCTAATTCAGCTGTAGATTAAATTTTACTATCTTCCATAGTCGGCCTTAATTATTCGTAATAAGTACTTGACCAAACTTTTCGTACGACCACCGGGTACATTTTTTCTGGTCAAAAATATATAAAATGGAATGGTTGGTTGTAGTTTGTTCGTTTGTAGTTTGTAGTGTAAGTTCCGGCAACGTCGTTGATGTTACATGCCGCTTTTGCCGCTTTGCTCCTAAGACGGCATTCATATTCCATAATTGATCGAATTTTTGACTTATCCATCACAAGAAAAAATGTTCGGATTGTAGAAACAAAACATTAACTGTTAAACAAGTGATGATTATAAAATGCCATGTTTTGATATGAAATAATTTGAAATAAGAGCCATAAAAGAAATTGTGTTATGAAATGCCAGTACGGCATAATTACAATTTCATAGCGCTTAAATTCACTTTGGCTTATAGCACCAATCGGTCGGTGGAAGTAAGTTTTTCCAACCTGCAGACCTGGAAATCTCTAGGGAATTTAATTGAATAGTGCTGCAGTGACCGTCTTATGACAGCCGGGGTGTCAGGGTAAGCGCAATGAGGCACCGCGACTTCGGCCCAGAGCAGGAGAAGGAATAGGGGGGGTTTAATCAGTAAGAGTCTGTTAATCTCTCTCGCCCAACCCTGGACCGGAGAAGTCATTTGGGTAATATAATTGATGCTGAAGAACCTTAAACAAAAAATATTAACAGTTACATAATACTCAAAACTTTGATCATAGTTACTGCAGTGTGTAGTTTAATAATGGAAACTGCGGTACTTATATTCTCCATAATAATGCGGCTGATAGCACATGCATTAATAACGTTTTTTTTTCTTCCTTGTTTTCAGAAATCGCCCCAGCCAGCTGCACATTTGAATTATTACAAGTCTCCGCGCTGAAATTCTGCATCCTCTTGCATCCGTTTCTGCATTCAAGTCATAGCCTAGTCCAATATTCTTAATATTAAGTCTCATGTAAATTGCATTTATAACTTATTTCGTTCTTATTGTAAGTTACGAGAATATTTTCGTAACAAAAGTATACTTTTATGAGGTAAGAAAACGCATTTGTAAATATTAATAGGATCGACATTTAATTTTCTTTTTTAAAATTGTACCTATTTATTTGTCATCATTATTTACCATTTTTATTGCATTTCTTTTTCAATTATCATTTGTATAAAATATTTAGTACTAGAATCACCAAATTAATAAAGACCTAGTAACTGAGTAGGTACCTACTTATATTCCATTGGGGTCCCTTGCAACAAGAACCTTGATATCACTGTCATTCAATTCTTTCTCCTCATTATGATAATTTTCTTCTAATTCTTTATCATTCATTCCTTTTTTATTTTTAATATTTCTACATTACACGAAACTAATAGGATTGTTCATTATAAAATTTCAAATCCAATATAATAAAACAAGATATCAAAATGGCACAATTTTATTCAATCTAAAATGTACTATTAAGTAGGTATGTAGTTTATAACAGAAATAATCACAACCAGTGTTATTTAGGTAGACAAAATTTTTATTAAAAAGTACCTAGGTAGTTTCATAAATTAATAAGTGATGGGATAATTGGCAGTGTTACTGGGCGATTTTATAAGAGAAACGTGTAAAATATATGCCTCTACTTGCAATAGAAAATTTTGTAAAAAATCTAGTGACATGGAAACAATAATATTTACAATATAATACTTACAATTATACCTAGTTGATATAACAAATTAATTTTAGCACGTCATACAAAAGTTCATGCTTGATAGAATTATGAAATGTGAACGTTTTTATTAAAATATAAATTGTAAAAAAGTCATTAAATATTTAAGTACCTGTCAGGACTTTTTGAAAGCTCTTTTGGACATTTTTCATTAGTTTTAGTGTCCAAAAACAATTGTAACCGATTTGACTTAAGTATATTAAGGACAATACACCACTTAACTCTACACGTAAACTATAACATTGTTACATTTTGTGACTAGTGAAAAATCTAGTCAAATTAAGTAGACATTTAAACTATTCATAAATAATAAAGGCAAGTACGTATTTACAGAAAAGATATAAAAGTAAATAATACATAATTAATCCATCAGAATATATAAACAAACAATCTGAAACATGTTCACGTTACGCTACAGAAATGCAATTAAAAATAAAACAAATAGAGCTATAGCATCGTGCATCAACATCAACAAAACAGAACATAACTTCATCACATACACACAAATTCCTCTAAGAAGACATCACAGTCAGAGATATTACATACTAAATACTTGTGCACAATAGTCGTTTGTATTTACACTTGGACAGCGTTGTCGCTGGGTAGCGTTCTGTGTATCACGTGGAACATTGAAGGCTATCGAACACTGTTCCTATCACGGCCAATGAAGGGACTGGCCTCGTGGTTGTTCTTCTCCAAGTTACCGGATAACGTTGGGTCCGGCCGACTGCGCTTGAAGAAGCCCAACTTCCACAACGCAATGATTAGCAGCACCAACACTATTAGCCCCACTATAACTGATATAATGATCACCCATAATGGTACTTCAGTTGGCTCGCTTATCTTCAAGTCTGGATATGCAACCGTCTCCACCTGAATGAGAAAATAAATTAACAAAATGTTTTTCGAAAGGAATAGAATTAATTTGGAAATTGTTGAATATATTGCCTTAAAATTTATATATCGGTTTTTGCCATGGAACAATTTTATGGTGATGAAGCGAGTTGTTATATTGCAAAACAAAAGTTAATATTTTTCAAAGTATGTAGAACTCTTACTACTTCTAGTATAAGAATCAGATCTGATCTACAAATCTGTTGAGCTAAATTATATTATTGCTTACCGTTGTTCTATCGTCAATTTGCTTATTCTGGTGTATATTGAAATGCGCCGGTATGCTGATGTACGCAGTGGACGCAATGTTCACTCTCGCTGCCCTTGCGAACTCTTCCACCAGAGTAACGTTCCACAATCTGGCGCGCACACTGATGGTACTCGTCTTCATACGACCTAGCTTGTAGATCACGCATTGGAACTGAATGCATTTTGCTGTTTTTTGTTGGCAGTTCTGAAATTCAGAAGAATTTGTTCGTATGTAGAACTTGGATTTATTTTAAATTTTGTGCTAATGACCTACTAACAGAAGAGGTATCCAACATATCATACACATCATCATTATATAAGTAATCACTGCTGAGCAAACGCCTTTGCCTACACGAAAGTCTAACGTTTGTTGGTGGTGTAATAGATTTAACTCCAAAAAACTAGCAACCTAGGGACCATAGAACCACGACTTACAGAAATATACCGAGCATAAAAAAAGTGGTGGTTTGTCACTTACCAAATTGATAACATGTTTCCTATCAGTGTAGGCCTCAGCCTTAACAGCATCTTCATCTCGTTTCCGTCTTACTTTATTAGTGCTTGTATAAGAACTAGAACTGGAATACTCCGCGTATTTTCTTCTTGTTTCGTTGTGAGTCTTTTCGCTTGAACTGACGCTAAGCTTGCCAGTCGTTAGGAATGGGTTGATTTCTAAGTTTTCCAAAGGCTCTGGAGCGCCTGGTCGTGTTGTCAGGTTTAGCGGATTGATTTCTCGGGCGAAACATTCTCCGTTTTGATCTGGAACAGTTTTTTGTCACTTTAGTATTTAAAATAAGACTTTCAGCTATCTAGTCTGAGGCTCGCTCATGGCAACTCAATATAGTTGCCATGAGCATAACTGAATGTGATAAACATTAATTAAAGTTTTTAATTAAAGGAAATTTAAAATTATTAAACCTTTAGTAATGCTGTATGTTTTATACTTAAACCCATAAAAAAACTCAATTCCACAGAAATGGATGTAACAAAAATATTTTGGGCGTTTATTTGTCAAGACCACACGTTTTGATGATGCATATTATCCTTGGAAGGCAACAACTGCTGGCCATCTCGTGATTCGAATGATCAACTTCAACCATAGGTTGGGTTTTTTATGACATAGGTGACAAAAAATATACGAACCGGCTTCTCCATCAACGGTGGGCACGTCTTCAGGGTACAACAGCCACTTTCCTTGCGCCGTATCTGACGCGAGCTGATGGGGCCACTGTATAACCACCTGCACTGACGATACGTGCCACGGACCTTCGTTAAACACCTGGATAAAGATATTCAAAGTTAGTTACAGCCAATCTTTTAAAATTGTTGTAGGTACCTAATATTAAATATTCGTAAGTAATTGAATGTAAAGGTCAGAACTAGATACATTAGTTCCTTTTTCGAAATGAAGACGAGGCGAATACAGCTTTTATAACAATTGAATGAGAAATAGTAGAATTTACCTGATAAGTATGAACGACTCTGGTCCCAATATCATCAAAATACGTCATAGCAGATTCTCCCTTAATTCCACCGCCATAGAATACTTGTTCTGGACGCGCCACACTGGAAATAAGGAAAAAAATTGCTTGAAAATACTTTAAAATATGATTTCTTTGAAGCTCCTTAATAATACCTATACAACTTGCTAGTGTAAAAGAAAGATGATATAAAAATCTAGATTGGAAATCAATCAAATGAAAACATCAAAGATTAACTTAGATTGCTCCTTACCCCTTAATCAGCAACTCGGCGTTCTTAATAACCAGCGCCTCAACTTCCACAGGCTTCTTCCCAGAATGCAATTCCTTTGATGTGGAATTGGCCCACACAGTGAATACAACTGATTGGTCATTATCTTCTAACGCCCGCGCATCGAAACGCATTGTGATTGGAGGAGAACCGTCCGCTTGTTTCTTGAATGGATTCTCTAGCATACACGTTACAGTCGTCTTGTTGAAACTAGTGCAGATTACGTGTTTGTCCTGAAAATTTTAAAGTACAAATATGAAACATAAATATATTTCAACTTAAAGTATTTCAACTAATCAAAGAATGCATGGAGAAGCGGAGAACATTGAACAGCTGTGTAGTACAACGGCTAAGTAGTAAGCGTCTATTCCGATAGATGGCGGTAGTTGTACTAAGACATTGAAGAAAATGTATATAAAGTACAATAGTTCTATGACTTAATACCAAGAGGAAATTGTGACAGAATAATTATAATATACTATATAGACTAAGAAAAAATTATACTCAAAGTTACTTATGTATATTTTTTTCTTGGTCTGTAATTTCAGTCCTTCAATCAGAAGGCTTTCATTCAAATCTATACTAATATTATAAAGAGGTAAAAATTTTAAGTTATGTTTGTAAGTTTGTCTGTAGGGGGTAATATTTAGAACCGCTGGTCGGATTTCCAAAAGTCTTTCACTAATTGATAGCTACAATGTTTCCGAGTGCCATAGGTAATAAAACATTATGCTAGAATCAAATGCAGTCGAGCAGCGAGTAAAATCGGGCAGGAGTAGCTAGTATGTAATAAGTTTAATTTATTTGATAAAGTATACTCACACTTATATTGACTGCAATATAGTGAAGACTGGGAGGATGAGTGACAAACAACTGCGTCTCATAAGCAGATTCTCCATAGTTGTCCACTGAAATTGAAAGTTTGATCTCTTCCTCTTGGCCCAACGTCAGAGCGTAACTTTTGTTATCTTTCGCTGCAAAATATATCATAAAAATAATTAGTTACTAAAAATACATACTCAGTAATTAATGTGTAATTACATCTTTGAGTTTTAATAATACATTTTTAAACGCGGGCAAGGTATTGCACATGTTTTTTCACTACTGCATTGGAAATGGTACCTTCTACCATGTGATTTGCATCTAATATTTCAAACAATAATATCAATAACACATTATTTCATTATACCTCTTTGTTATTTTAAAGCGTAAGCGTATAACAAAACAAAACTTCTTACTCAGGGGCAGTAACAATTTAGGGTCCACAACGAGATCGCTAATGCAGATGGCGTCCGCACCACAGTCGTTGAGGAAGTTAGCGGTGAACATGGAACTGGCAGTGGCATTCAGTACTGGATACTGGTCGACATCTGGTAGGGTGCCAGAGGGAGAATACCGTGGCTCAGCATGCACTAGCATGTAGGTCAACTGGAACTGTGGAAAGAAAAAAACAATGAT